CGGGCCTACCTGACACAAGCAGTACACGTGTCATAGTCCTGGTGTGCCAATAAACAGAATTCTTCTTATGAAGCGCTGTGTTGCATGACCTGTCTATCGAACCAAGACACCGCCTGGTCCTTTTTACTGGAGACGCCAGGGAGTGAACCTCGGTCCTTCTGCACACCAAGCAGTTGCTCTGCCATTGAGCCATGGCCCCTCCCCATGGACCTGCATTCAAGCCTTCCTTCCAGCCCACCCACATCCCCACCTTCCTGCGTGTTCTTCTCTGTATGCCCTTTCCCTGATGGTCCTGGGTAGTGCATGTGAAGGCCACCACTGTGCCCACCAGGAGTGCTGCCACTGTACACCACCGGCGTATCCTTCCCTGCCCGCATGTGACTGTGGGTCTTTGCGGCATTGAGCCCTGCCAGAAACCCTGGGCCTTGGCAACTGCCCCACCTTCACATGCTGATGCCGGCCCTGACGTTCGTAAAGAAGGATCAGATTCTGGAAGCTGCCTTATACGGAACCAGACCATTGGTCCATCAAGGTCAGTACCATCTATTCAGAATGGCGACTGCTCTCCAGGGTCTAAGGCACCTCCCACCTGGTCCTTTTAAGTGGAGATGCCAGGGATTGGACCTGGGAAGAGGAGGAGGAGGAGGAATTTGGATTTATACCCCGCCCTTCACTCGGAGTCTAAGAGTACAATCTCCCCACAAGAGACACGCTGTGAGGTAGGTGGGGCTGAGAGGGCTCTGAGAGAACTGCTCTTGAGAGGACAGCTCTGAGAGAACTGTGACTGACCCAAGGTCACACCAGCAGCTACATGTGGAGGCGTGGGGAATCAAACCCGGCTCTCCCAGATTACAGTCCGTTCTCCTAACCACTACACCAAACTGGCTCTCTATGCTGAGGGGGGGGAGAGGAGGACAAGAAGAAGAGGAGGAGGAGGAGGAAGAAGAGAAGAGGAGGAGGAGAGTGGATTTATACCCTGCCCTTCACTTGGAGTCTCAGAGCAGCTTACAATCTCTTTTCCCTTCCCCTCCCCACAACAGACACCCTGTGAGGTAGGTGGGGCTCAGAGAGCTCTGAGAGAACTGCTCTTTTTCAAGGACAACTCTGACAGAACTATGCCTTGCCCAAGGTCATCCAGCAGGTGCAAGTGGAGGAGTGGGGAATCGAACCCGGTTCTCCCAGATTAGAGTCCGCACATTTAACCACGACACCAAATGAAGAACATTTTATTGGCTATTGCACTTTATTTGCATTGGATGACGCCTGAGGTGAAGAGGACCAGGCAGTCTCCTGCAATAAACAGGATGATGTCATGGGATTGTTCTTATTGTGAAGCAGATGTATGTCCGTGTGATTTCACAGAAACGTATTAATGGCCCTGTTCACACGAGGGGTTTAGGGCCGGGAGCAGGACGGAACGGGGGCGGAGCAAATGGGCGCGATCCCACGGCAACATCTGGGAATCGTTGCCTGCTCGTCCCCGATCCGTCCCTCCCGCCCAAAAACCCGCACTAAAAAATAACCACCTACCTAGGTGGTTCTTCGGAGTGGAGCGCCTCAAGCCGGGCCGCGGGATCGCCGGCGCGTCCTTGCGCCGGCGCATCCCGCCCCCCCGGGCAAACTGCTTTTAAAAGCCGCACTTTTCCCTGTGTTTTCCCTGCCGTGTGGCAGGGGCCTATATTTATCAAACCCTTGGAAAACTGAATTCACTTTTTCGTAATTATATCACGGTCGTTACTGTCTATTTTTCATCAGCCTCCAGGTGGTGGCTGGATATCTCCAGGGATTAAGGCTGACCTCCAGGAGACGGAGATCGGTTTACCTGATGGCTGCTTCGGAAGGTGGACTCTGTGGCATTGCACCCAACGGAAGTCCCTCCCCAAACACCACCCTTTCCAGGCTCCACCTGCAAAATCTCCAGGTATTTCACAATCCGGGGCTGGAAACCCCATCTACTGCCCTCCCAAGACTGTGGTACCATTAAGTGACATTGCTAAGCCAGTTTGGTGCAGTGGTTAAGTGAGTGGACTCTAATCTGGGAGAACCGGGTTTGATTCCCCACTCCTCCACTCAAAGCTGCTGGATGACCTTGGGCAAGCCATAGCTCTGCCACAGCTGTTCTCTCCAGGGCAGTTCTGGAAAGAGCTCTCTCAGCCCCACCTACCTCGCAGGGTGTCTGTTGTGGGGAGGGAGGAATTCCTGGAGGAATTGTACAGTTCTCGATGTTTGAAAAAAGCAAAGAACATTTTGCAGGACTTGTCACATCCTGAACATTCCCTGTCTGAACTGCTGCCTCCGGGCAGAAGATATAGGACAATTAAAGCAAGGACAAATAGATTTAAAAATAGTTTTTATTCGAGAGCTATTATTGCCGTAAATCCTGCATGAAATTGGAATTTGGGTGACATTGGTGGTTTTAAGTTGTTATGTGAACCTCAAGGGAGTTATGGGACAGTTGTGAATGGTGTGTGAGTGCATATGAATATTGTTGTAGATCACCAAAATGATCGCATCTTTAATTTCGTTGTACTACGCTCCTCTTCTTCTTCTTCTTCTTCTTCTTCTTCTTCTTCTTCCTCCATTCCTTCCGACACTAAGTCCACGTTTTTATCTCCCCCTCTTAGTTTCTTTTCGGCTGGGTAGCCCACGGCCGCGATGACTCACTTCCAAGCAGAGATCTGTTTCTACCATTCCGGCCCCCTTAAAATACATTCCCCAAATCCACGCTATGCCATTTCAATTAACGGCAAAGCATATTCGTAAAACGGGAGCAAAGAACAATCGCAGGGATATTTCGGCGCAGATAAGTCTGCAAGGGATCACACCCTCATTTTTTCCCCTTCCAGCAGGTCCAAGTAGCGTTATTAGGCTGGCAAATCTCTCAGCTGCTGGCCCGTGAACGGACCGTTTCCCTTGCCACTTGGGAAGAGGGTGGGAGAGAGTTTGTGCCTACAGTTGCTATGCCCCTGACATCAGACCGGATCCTGGCACAGGGGGGTTCTGTCAGAAGATTCCAGTATTGAGACTTTCGTCTCGAAAAGCCACTGCATTCGGGTTAGCTTCCCTTTCTAAAAAGAACGAATGGAAGGTCGTAGCTGGAATTAAAAGAAGCACTTGGATTCCTTTTCCAGCAGGCAGGCATTTCTCCCCACTACTGTTTTTTTTTTTTAAGTTACAGTAAAGAAAACAAAGATCATAATTGCATGATTCATAAAAAATTTGTGCAGAAAAAGGAATGCTTGCATGAATGCTCTGCAATTTCGGCTTCCCTTCCTGCCCCTCTTAATAAAAACCACCACCCCAGGGAAATATAAGATTCCCAATTTCCTAGCTAGGCAACATGACACAACCCCCCAGTCCGGGTTAGGAGACTGGGAATAGCCCATGCCTTTTGTGCCCCCGCCTCCCTCCTTGCCCTGATCTGGGTTGGCCCGGTCTCGACACATCTCAGAAGCGAAGCAGGGTCGGTCCTGGTTAGCACTTGGATGGGAGGCCACCAAGGAAGTCCAGGGTCATGATGCAGAGGCAGGCCATGGCAAAACCACCTCTGTATGTCTTTTGCCCTGACCTGGATGGCCAGGTGTCATGATCTGTGTAGGACTGGTAGACGAGGCCTAGCGGCCTAGACCCCAGGAGACCTATGTTGGAGTGGAAAGCAGGCAGCCTACAATCCCCACAATGCTTAGCGATGGTTGTAACCGATCGGTGTCCAGGGATTGTGTGAGGAGATTGTCACTTAAGCTTTGTGGGCTGTGGAAGTGTGTTCTTTTCTCTACCGCGTTCTCTTCTCTCACAGAGCTAAACTGAGGGAACTGTCTTCTTTTCCCTCGCAGAGTTAAGCTGAGAGGACAGTCTGGTCTGAGAGAAAGATCCCTCACTTGGGACAGAGTGAGTACAGGCACAGGCCTGGTATAAAAGGCTGTTGGCCTTGAATGGTAACCAGCGAAGAGAAATAGGTAGCCGCGTCAGATTTGTTTTATTTTGCCTTTAGACACGGTTATATATTTTAAGCACCTTGTCTTGTTTTCCTTGCCCCATTACTGTATTAATAAACCATTTGTTTAATGTTCTCTGCCTGGTCATCACGCCTATATTTCTCATCTTAAAAGGGGCATTCTGGTTGGGCTTGGGAGGGTACTCTGGGCCTTCCCAAGGGACCCTAAGTCCAGAGTGGTGGCAGAGGAAGGTGGCAACCCACTAGGGGTCATGACACCAGGCTAGCCTGGTCTTATCAGACCTCGGGAGTAGGGTTGCCAAGTCGATTATTGCTGGGAGCGGGGGGCTCCAGGCCGAGAAAAAACCATAGAGTTTTCCCTCAGATAGCTGCGGCCCCGCCCCCAGCGTGCCCGGCGTGGTCGCGTCACTTCCGGGTGACGCGCACATCGGGGAGGAGTCCCCCCCAGAGCGCGATCCGGCGGGGGTGGGGAACAGGCCTCTGGGGCGGGGGTTTCCCCGCCCCCCCCAGGGGGACTTGGGAAGCCTACTTGGAAGCTAAGCAGGGGCAGCAGCAGCAGCAGCCCTTGCTGGGAGGGGGGGGTGTAAAAATCAAATAAATAAATAAGAAGGTCACACCAGCAGTTGTATATGGAGGAGGGGGGAAATAGAGCTGGTTCTCCCAGATTAGAGTCCGCACCTGTAACCACCACACCAAACTGGCTCTTAGTTTAACTGAAAAGGTTAGTCAAGAATAGAAGAGGGCCAGCTCTAAAAATCTAATTATGAAACATACAAAAATATACATGTATTTATTCAACATAAATTAAAATAACAAACAAGGGCCCATTCCTACCTCATATACAAATATAAAAACATACAAGGGCTAATAAGATAGACCTAACGCGTTTCGGCCTTTACAGGCCTTCCTCAGAGGTCTAATACAGACAGAACATGTTGGCTGATATGCAAAAATACATGCAATCATACATATATGGAATAAAGACCAGAAACCAATTGTTCCAAAGTTTAACCACTGGGCAAAGAAAAGAAATACAGAAATACAAATGAAGCCTCCAGTGCAATCACATGTCCAGTAGTACTTCTCTCTGGTCAACTATATATTCTTCTGAGATTGTGCAGCCAAATGTTCCCAATAAAATGGTCCTTAGGTTAATTGGAACAATTGGTTTCTGGTCTTTATTCCATATATGTATGATTAAACATTGTTGGTCTTAAAGGTGCCACTGGACTCAAAACTTTGTTCCGCTGTCTCAGACCAACATGGCTACCCACCTGAATCTAAGCAGACTCTGATAATTGACAGTGCATTCCTGTGCAAAATCACCCCAGTTCAACTCCGGCATCGCTCTGCACAGGATTGTGCTCTGAGACAGGTTTCAACTTTCAACTGGAATCAGACACCCATAAGAACCCGCTGCGTCGATTTCAACAGCTCGATCCGCTTTGGCTGGGGGGAATGGCTCTCAGTTCTTAAAAGAAATCCTGCTATTACTAATGAACGCTTCCTACTCCGGGAGCCACCTTCAAAATCACAATGGAAAAATGAGTATCTGGTGCACATACGGAGACACACACAGGTGTGTGGAGTTTTGGACAAAAGGAGAAGGAAGAGGAGAAGGAGACTGGATTTTATACCCAGACCTTCACTCAGAGTCTCAGAGCGGCTTACAAACTCCTTTCCCTTCCCCTCCTCACAACAGACACCCTGTGAGGTAAAAGAAGATGAAGAAGAGATTGGATTTATACCCCGCCCTTCACTACTCAAGGGAGTCTCAGAGTGGCTTACAAACTCCTTTCCCTTCCCCTCCTCACAACAGACACCCTGTGAGGGAGGTGGGGCCGAGAGAGCTCTGACAAAAACTGCCCTTTCAAGGACAGCTCTGACAGAACTATGTCTTGCCCAAGGTCATCCAGCAGGTGCAAGTGGAGGAGTGGAGAATCAAACCCGGTTCTCCCAGATTAGAGTCTGCACACTTAACCACTAGACCAAATGAAGAACATTTTATTGGCTATTTCACTTTTATTGCACTGGATGACGCTTGAGGTGAAGAGGACCAGGCAGTCTCCTGCAATAGAGAATAGGTTTATGCCATTGCATCATTCTTATTGTGAAGCAGATGTGTGTCCGTGTGATTTCACAGAAAGCTCTTTTGAGAACTGCTCTTTCAAGGACAGCTCTTGTCAGAACTACGACTTGCCCAAGGTCATCCAGCAGCTGCAAGTGGAGGAGTGGGGGAATCAAACCCGGTTCTCCCAGATATAGAGTCAGCGCACTTAACCACTGCACCAAACTGGCAGAAGGAGCCCCGCTTTACTGCTCACTAAACAGGAGCTCTGCTGAGAAAGGATCAAGGGTTCTGTGTTCCATCAGCTTAAGAAGATCGATGCACCAGCCGAGCAGACGCGTCCGGCCGGCCAAGAGAAACACAGGAGACAGGTCAGAAGGGAGGTGTGCCTGGGGGAGCGGTGGGGTGGGGGGAGGAGAGAGATTGTGCCGTTTCTGGAGACAGCTCTCCACTCTTAGACTTCTTAAAGAGCGGGCATGAAACGTGCTTTCATAGCGGCGACGCTGCCCGGCCTTCGAAAACACACCTTCCCGAGCGCAACACACACTGCTACCTTTCACCCTCTCTGTTAGCTTAAGGTGTGTTCGGTTCCATGACTGGGCAAAACCTGCGTCACCGGCTACCTGCCCCCCCCCTGATTTTTTTAAACCCAGAGAGCGGAGCCGCTCGGAGCCGTGCCGAACACTGGCCGATTTTACTGGAGGGGGGAGGACGGCGGCCAAGAAGAGGTGGCGGCGCCCACATCACACAGCCCTCGCCCCCCCCACCATCCCCATCAAAACAAGAGCTGCAGCCGGGAGGATTATGGATTTCCTAATTCTGTGGCAAAAGAACATGTTGGATCAGGCCAAAGGCCCATCCAGCCCAACACTCTGTGTCACACAGTGGCCAGAAATACCAGGTGCCATCAGGAGGTCCAGCAGTGGGGCCAGGACATTAGGAGCCCTCCCACTGTTGCCCCCCCCAAGCACCAAGAAGACAGAGCATCACTTGACCCAGAGCCCCTATCTGTAAAGATAAAGGTTCCCTTGCTCAAAAGCCAGTCGAATCCGTCTCTAGGGTTGCGGTGCTCATCTCCGTTTCAAAGCCGAAGAGCCAGCGCTGTCCGAAGACGTTTCTGTGGCCATGTGGCCGGCATGACTAAACACCAAGGCGCATAGAACGCTGTTACCTTCCCACCGAAGTGGTACCTATTTATCTACTTGCAATTTCTTGCTTTCGAACTGCTAGGTTGGCAGGAGCTGGAACTAGAGATGGGAGCTCACTCCGTCATGCGGCACCCGGGTCTCGAACTGCTGAACTACTGACCTTCCACAGCCTGCAGTTCAGTGTCTTAACCACTTGAGCCACCGTAGCTCCCCTATGTGTACCTTGTGGCTAATAGCCACTGATGGACCTCTGCTCCATATGCCTATCTAATTCCCTTTCGAAGCCGTCCATGCTTGTAGCCGCCACCACTTCCTGTGGCAGTGAATTCCAAGTGTTCATCACTCTTTGGGTGAAGAAGGACTTCCTTTTATCCGACCTCCAAGGAGTACCAGGGCTGGGAGGCCAGAGGTAGGCTATCTAGTCACTTCTCTGGATGTCCTCTGTGCCTGAGCAGGAGTCGCCAGGGGACGCCATGACTTCCAGGCATGAGCACACACACTCACACACGCGTGTGCCATA